CACCCCCCCTTCTGCCTGCTTGCACTTCTGCCTAGTCGAGTTGCTCTGTAATCCTTGCCACTGGTCCCGACCACTCAACAAGCCGCCATTGCCAACGATGCGGATCAATCTGCACTGCCGTCGTTGGGCCATCTCGCTCACGGCAAGGCCACGAGACGAGGCCTACGATGCGAATGGTAGGCTGGTTCCTGCGGCCTTGCCTTGCCTTGCCTTGCCTTGCCAGTTCTTGCGCATCTTTTCCCGTCTTACCGATCACCGTGCATGCCCGCCCATCTCTCTAGGCCTCCTTCGCATGGCCTTACTGATTGCTATCCCCGTGCCCACTTCTGCCCAACCCGCTCGCCCCTCCTTGTTCTGTCGCCCGGCTCGTTCCCTGCCCCTCGGAGCGCCGCAGCGCCGTCACCGCCGCTCCTGCAATTTCGCGCATCTGCATCTGCACTCGCTTCTCTTGCGCCTTGGGCCGAAACGCCATACGCTAACCTGCTTCTCTCCTCCTTCCCAGCGGCCGCCTCTCAACACCACAGTCAACCTGCCCACCTAATCTTTAATTCGACACGCCTCGCCTTGCGCCTCTTCCCTTCGCATTAATACCATGCTATGGCAGCTGTAATCGGCGACTACATTTCCGACCACCCTACCCACTTTCACACAATGATAGCCTCGTCAGGCCCGTCCCGCCAGCACTCTCACGATTCGCGATACCGATCAGCCAGCCATTCTCGAGACTCACCTTCCGCCCGCCGCCCGTCCGCCAGCCCGCGATACCAGCCTGCCGCCAGCACCGCGTCCGTCTCGCGCCAGATCGTGCAAGACAGGAAACCTACCGACCCCTCAGAGAAGCGAACCGCCGCCACGGATAGCGCCTCACGATTTCCGACCCCTCCATCGTCCTCCTCTCCCAGCCACACCGTCGCCAACGCTGGAGCTCAGCATGCGAACGACCGCGGCATCGCATCACAGGCTCAAAGCGCCACACAGTCTGGCTCCACCCACGTCGTAGGGTCCTCCACCACCATGGCTCCCCACCAGCAACAGCCCTCGCCCGCTTCAGACGTTCAACCAACCCTCACCACTTCGTCTCTGAACGACAGCTACCTCGCTGATGCGACGTCGCCGCTTGAACCGCCATCAGGCCAGACGATCCAGGTCCGAGACCTTGCCCATATTCAGAGTCTGGCGCGAGCCGACATGATCAACGGCAGCGGTATCTTGAACGATGCTCCAGCCCAGCAGGTCAAGTACGAGATCAGCGGCATGCCTATCGGCGACATTATCGAGATGGTGGCGGCACTGCTCACGAAAATCACAACCACCAACGACCTGCAGCACGACGCCCTGCAGCGCAATGCCGCGCACCAGCAGCAGGCCAACCAGAACGGTGAGGCTGGCAGTGGAACCCAGATGAGCCCGCTCAGCACCTCGGTGCTTGCCTTTCACGGCAAGAACGTCCCCGCCATTACAATTCTGAGCTACCTGTCTCGCATTCACAAGTACTGTCCGACAACGTACGAGGTCTTCCTCAGCCTCCTTGTCTACTTTGACCGTATGACGGAGAGGGTGAACGAGATGGTGGTCAAGAATGAGGAGCAGCGACAGGCCAACCCTGAGCCTGCGCCCGCCGAAGCGTCCAAGTCGATCGACGTAGACATGGAGGATGATGCAGAGAGCGACGAGAGCGCCGAAACAGACTCGGATCTCGCAGACGACGATGACGGGGACGACGAGACCCCTTCGAGTGCGAAGCGGCGGGACAGTGAAAAGGGACCGATCATCACGGGCGCGGATCCCGGACCGAACATCGGGCCTGCCACTTATTTTGTGGTTGACAGCTTCAACATTCACAGGCTGATCATTGCTGGGGTGACTTGCGCAAGCAAGTTCTTCTCGGATGTGTTCTACACAAACTCGAGATACGCCAAGGTTCGTACTTACCCTTGATTCTGTGGCGCAAACGAAATTCTAACGTCAACACAGGTTGGTGGGGTTGCCTCTCGCCGAGCTTAACCACCTCGAACTTCAATTTTCTTCTTTTAAACGACGTTCCGACTTGCGGTCCCCGTCGAGGACCTCGAGGCCTACGCCACCATGCTTGTTGAGTTTTACGCTCGCGAGGTGGTGGTGCCACAGCAGTCGCGACCCGCAACAGCGGCCGCGGATGACGCCTAGAACGACCAGCTTGCTTTTGTTTACAACATCACGAGATTGATACCCTGATATACACATACTTGGAGGAGAACTCTCTACACGGAGAATGACGACTTTGGCGAGGTCACGGCCCCAAGGTCACGGGCGCGGGCGGGCTGGTGGCGGGGGCTGTTAGTGACTGAGCAGATTGGATTTTCGTACATGGAGGTCTTTAAACGGATCGAGCTGGGGTTGCTTGCCCTCGCATGACGGATGCCGAGCTGGCGGAGCTGGAGGACTCAGCGTTGGGCTTCTCGGACTAGACGTGGAGGGGGGGGGATGATGAGGCGTTGGGGCGTGGTTCTCTGCTTCTGTTTGGTTGCTGCATGCGATGTGCGTCGTCGGCTCGCTGGCGTTGCATCCCGTTTACGTAGAACGGGCCTGCATGAATTGACAGGCGTTGACGGTTTGCAGCATGTGGGAGGGGGTTGATGTGTCTTGCTTTACTCCGTGCTTGGTTCTTTTATGTGACACCCAGTACTTTATGTTGGCGGATCTCGGACCGCCGGAACATGACGACATTTGACTCAACAGCACAGCTTGTCGATATGTTGCATCTGTCCATAATGCAGCTCAAAAATATAATTGGCCATTCTGGCCTATTTTCTTTACCACGTTCAAGGCAAGTGCCTGCATCAAGAAACAACCAGTCAAACACCCAGCTCAAAACGCCGTTCACCACACCACTTGACCGCAGACTCCTCAACAGCAAGCCCCCCCCCCCCCCTTACTCCTCACCACCGTGATCACTCGACCGCAGACAGAATCAACGCTAGAGCTCAGCCTCGCTCAGCTCGGCGGCGCGGGGGAGACGAGCTCAATGTTGTTGCCGACGGGGTCGATGAGGAAGGCGGCGTAGTAGTTTGGGTGGTACATCTCGCGCACGCCAGGGGCGCCATTGTCCTTTGCGCCGGCCGAGGGGAGGCCCTGCCTTGTAGAAGGCGTCGACCTGGTCGCGGGCTGGTGGAGGAAGAGTGTCAGTCCGGGTGGGTGGGTGGGGTGAGGGGTTCGGCTCCGCTTCTGCTGCTCGCTCGGGAACCCGCGGAGACGAAGAGGCATGCGGGAACCACGAAGGAAAGGGGGAGACGCAGGAAAGGGGAGAACTCCACTGTCCTGCGGGTGAAAGGCGACGTGGCTGAGGCGTTGACGGAGGGAATGTCAATGGGCCGTGATCCAGAA